TTCATTTTCTCTAAACAATCTTCTAATCAAATTATTTGTTGATTCTTTAATATTTTCTCTGGAGTCTCTCTCAAATGTGGTGGAAACCCTTCTAATTTGGTGACTGGGGGCGGTGGTGAGATGGGCGGCACGGATTTTTCCTTGCACGTTTTCCAAACGTGTGATGCATTTTCAGGAAAGGATTCTGAACCTTTTTTATAAGGTGCTCCTTCCGCCGAGCACCAGTCCAGCCGCGGGTCCAGCAGGGCTTTTCTTGCCTTCCGTGAGCGGGTTCCGCATTGTCGGGAACTCTCCGGGGAGCCCTGGGCCGTGTCCCCCTGGGCCTCCGTTTGCAATCCGGCGATGAAGGCTGCAGCGAGGGGGCGCTGGGGCGACGGACGGCTGGGGGCGCCGTCTGCCGGGGGCCGCCAGGGGGCGCCGCGTCGCTTTCCCGCTGGGAGCTGCTGGCGGCGCGGCGGTCCGGGGCCGGTGGGGGCGGCGGGGGGGCGCGGGCGAGGGCGAGGGCGCCGGGGCAGGGAAACGGGGCGGCCCGGCCACGTCTCGAGCCGGGCCAGGGAGCAGCGGCGGGCGGGGCAGGAGGCGCCAGGAGCGGGCAGCGGATGCGTCCGGGCGGCTGAGTGGCCTCGGCGGGCGGGGGGCCCGGGGGGGCCCGGGGGGGCCCGGGGCTCGTCTGGGGCTTTTCTCTCGAGGAGGACAAGGCGGCTCGCCTGGCTGCCCCTTTCTCCATCTTATCCTCGCCGCAACCCCGGGGAAGCAGGCTGGGCTGAGAGGCCGTGGCTGCCTCCGGGTGGCACATGGGGGAGTGGGGGCCAGAGTGGGGCGCTCCCTCGTCCCGGTCCCACGGTCTGGCCACGAGGCCACGCGGCCTCTCGCCCAAGAACCGGTGCCAGGCTGTCAACTGGTGTGTGGAGGGAACGCCTCTGCGTGATCCTGCAGGTTGCGAAGGGCCTCCTCCAGAGCCGCCCCAAGAGGGAAGGTGGCCCGCCCGTGGCTTGGGCAGGGGCTTGAGCCGAGAAGCGGGGAGGCTGGCGCAGACCGCTCTGGCCCTGCCTCGCCCCGCTGCTCCTGTGCCTCAGCGGCCTCCGTGAGCAGGACGTGCGCTTCTCCCCGCCTGGCACGCGCCGGGCCGCGCCGAGGGAGCCACCCATGAGCCGTGGGGCAAGGCCGGCTTTCCCGGTGGGCCTGAGCGCACGGGTGCCGCGTGGCACCTTTCTGTCAGCAGCGGCGCCCCTGAGTTTCTGGTGCCGGGCCTGGCTCTCTGCCAAGAGGAGGTGCGGAAAGCACCGTGTGGCGGGGTCATCCCCGACCTGGGGTGCATGGATGCGCCCGTGCTCCTGTGGACAGCTCTGTGGTCCTCCCCTCCCCTCCCCTCCCCTCCCCTCCCCTCCCCCAGATTTTCCTGACCAGGCAGCCCAAGGAAAAGGCAACCAACCTTCCCTCCCAAGTTGGATTAAAGAGAAGAATAATGATCACAGGAAGGCTGATGGTTCGAAGGATGCGCAAGGCGCCCCGGCCAAGCCCGTGTGGGGCCAGCCCTGCCCTGCCCCGCCCCGCGTGCCTCGTCGCCTGCCGCCCCCTGGGGCTTCCTGGGGCGGGCCGGGCTGCGGGGCCCCAGCCCCTCGACAGGGCTGGTGGGAGGGGCAGAAGGAGCCGGGGGAGCCGCGGTCACCTCTCCGGGGGCGGGGCGGCTGCTGCCCGGCATTGCCCTCCTGCCATGGGGACATCAAGGCGCATCCCACGATGCCGAGAGGCCCTGCAGGAGGCCGTGGCGTGGGGCCCCGTGCCCTCGGCCTCGCACCTTCATGGGAAGCGCTCCCGTCCAGTCCTGCGCGTGCACCCCGGCCCCGGCTGCGGCAGCGCTGGGGGCCGCCCGGGGCCGGCAGAGGCCCACTGCAAGAGGCCAAGTGGCCCGGGCGCCAGGCAGCGGGGTCTGCACCTTGCATGCCGCTCGGGCGGAGGCTGAAGGCGGGAAGTGCCAGCGCCTCGCTCTGTGGCCTCGGGCGCTTCCTCGGGCACCAGAAGCAGGCCTGCCATGCCCTGGACTCGCCTCGCCCCCGCTGGGGTCTCTGCTGCAGCGTTCAGCCACCTGGCACAGCCTGCCTGATGCCCCAGGGCACAGCCAGCGGGGTCACCCCCCTGGGGGCATCTGCCGGGGCCGGCCCTGAAGGGCCCCTGGCCCTTGAACGCTCCGCTGGGGAGCGGTGTCTCCCGCTGGGGTTTCCGAGTGACCCTTGTTGCGATTGCTGGGCCTGCTGGCACGGGGCCTCGGGTGGCGGGCACGTGTGCGAAAGCAGCGCACTCCAGCATCCTCCAGGGGCCCTGCCCGTGTCCTCCTCTCCTTTTGCTTTGCTATGGATCCAGCTGGGTTGCTGCCAGCCAGCCGCCCAGCAGCTCCGTGTGCCTTCGAAGTGAGAGCCGAGCCTCAGAGCAGCGAAGCGTCTTCCGGGGATACGAGCGGGCACGGCGTGCTGGGTGTGGGGATGTGTGGGGCGGCCCCGCCTCTGGACGGCCCCTTCCTGTGGCGCAGCCAGCGGGGAGGCCTTCCCAGAGCCCCTGCTGGGGGCTGCAGCAGGGGAGGGGAGCACGGGGCCGCCAGGCTGGCTCGCTGAGGGCGGAGGCCTCACGGGAGGGCCCCAGCCCTGCCACGTGGATGGGGCTTCCGTGGCACCCGCCAGCCCCTCCACAGCAAGACAGACAGCCTCCCGACGGGGCCATATGCCCTCCGCCATGGGTCGAGCTGCCAACGTGGGGCACAGAGCCACCCTGCAGAGGAAGCGTGGCATGGGGAGGGGAGGGGAGGGGGCAGGCAGGAGTCAAGCCGGGAAGCAGGTCTGCAGGCAGCCCCGCTGCGGGGGGCTTGGGGGCCGAGCTGGAACTGCAGCTGCCTCGGCATGGCCGCCGTGTGGGTCAGCCGTGGCATGGGAGTCTCCTTCTGCCCCGATGCGCAGCGTTGCCCGTTGTGGGAAGGGGTGTCCGGTGCGAAACCCACTGCCCCGAGGGTTAGCTTTGATCCTGAATCCCAAAGAGGCAAGAACATATGCAAAACCAGAAGGGCTTGATTTACATCATTTATTCAGATCACAGAATTCAGATTGTCTTGGTAGAGAACCGAGCGGGAGGAACGGGCGTGGAATTCCTGCTGTCCGGCTCATGTGCTTACGTGTTTCTGCAGAGTCCTCGGGAAAGGCCGCCTGAAGATCGCCAGCCGAGATGTCTCGGTGCAGGAGCCGATCATCCTGAAAACCGGAGCCTCCGTTGCGCCACCGGTGTCGGCCGGTCCTTTACTGCCCCGTGCGCTCCGTCAGAACAGGCCAGCCCGGTCACTGGTCCGGATGGCCACCCCGTTCTCTCCTGGGCCGGGGGTGTCTTCTGAGGAGTCGGGCCCCGTGGGGCCCAGGGGGGCGCCTTTTGCTGGACAAGGGCGGGGGCAGCGCTGGAACGTCCCTGGCCAGGGCGAGGACGCCCTTTCCTGGTGGCGCTTTTGCTCCAGTCCCAGCATGCGGCAATGCCCGGTCCCTTCCCCACCCCATCTCTCCCGCCCCCCAGGCCAAGGCAACCCCGAGGCGGGCGGGGAAGCCGGGCAGCTGCACGGAGGCGTGTGGCGGGGCAGAGGGGCAGCGCCCTGTGCGCGGTGCAGCTTCCTACAGGCCCCCCACTGACCCTGGTTTGTGCCCAGCCACGGGGGGGGGGGCCGCCACACTCCCCCTCGTTCTCACACATGTGCCGCCGGGGGTCTTCCTGGCACTGGAGCAGTTGCCCTGATCCCGCAGGCTGCCGTGGGGGTAGCGGCACGTGCGGTGGCCGTTCTGAGCGCCCGGCCGCGGCGCAGGGTTATTGAAGCTGGGTACGCCACCCAACCTGGTGGCGGGGGCCGTTTCAGGGCGAAGCAACCTTCAGATAACCCACGGGCTGTTGCAGGACTATTTGAGGGCCAGCTTTCGGACGGCCTCCGCCTCTCGGGTTGGATGACGGCATGATTATGTGAATGGCCCTGGTCGGTCACTCGCAGGGGCGGGTGCTGGTCCGCCCGGCCAGCTGCTGGCCCTCTTCCTCGCCCCTTTTCCTTGGTGTTCCCCAGGGATGGGCTGGTCCAGAGGAAGGAGGCATCCAGCTGGGCGGAGTTCTTTTGCCGGGTTCCAGTTCCTTCGGGGGCTGAACCGTCTCTGCCCCAGGAGCTGCAAAAAGGGCTTCTCCCTGTGGGCCCACCGGGGAGGAAGCGGCTGCCCTCCCTTTCTCTGGAAAGGCCCGTTGCAGCAAGCTCTGCACCAGCCCATCTGCTGCAAAGACCGCCTGTGGGACACGGGGGAAGCAGGATCCTGCCGGCCACGGAGCCGGTCCTCCCCCAGCCTGGGGGAGAGGAGGACATGGGTGTTCGGTCCCCTCGCCCCCAGGAGCAAGCCAGAGTGCAGCAGCCATGCCTGGCCACGGGCCTCTCGTGGCTGGCCAGGAGGCTGCAGCAGTTTGCCCCTCGCTCGGCTGGCCAGGAACCCGAATGCTGCGGGGACGTGCGGGTGCCCATGTCTCGGGGGCGGGGGGGAAATGCCAGAGCCTGCGGGGAATGGGGAGGCCGGTGAAAGCTGGAGGCTTCTTTGGGCGAGGCGGAAGCCAGCGTGCTGAAATTGGCTGACAGACCAAGTGGCGGGAGAGGGGGCCTCGCCCTTCAGTCAGCCTGCCGGAAGGCTCAGAGCGCCTGGGTCCACGCGGGCTGTCCTTTCCCATCTGGCCAGAGCCCGGCCTCCCTGCTCTGTGTGCCTGCAGGCTTTGGGGGGGCCGGTCGGGGGGGGCCCGGGGCTGGCGAGCAAAGGAGCCCCACACGCTTCCCTCCATCCCTGCTCCGGGCAGTGCTCTGGCGACGGGGAGGGCCCGTGGCGGTTCTCCGGCGGTCTTGGTTTCCCCGCGTGCGTCCAGATCTGGGGCGGGCCTGGGCACGCACGCGCCGTGCCCCTCGGCCCTGCTGCAAGGCGGCCCCTCGGCCCTCGCCCATGCTGCCGGCAGCCGCGTCAGGCCCGCGGCTGGAGGTGGACGGCGGGGCTGTTGGGCCGAGCGGCGAGGATGTAGATGGCGCTCTCCCTCAGGAAGGCCGGCCAGTCGACTGTTCGGCTGCGGGACAGAGAAGGGACGGTGGATGCGGACCCTGGCAGGAGCAGGTCTGAGGCGGGTCGGCCGGCCGAGTGGCTGGCGCGTGAGCGCCGGGGAGAGCAGGGGAGGCTGTGCTCGGTGGCTCCCCCACAGCCTTCTGGGCCGCTCTGGGGCCCACGCGAGGCTCCGGTGCGCCAGCCCTGGCGTGTCCGCCGTGGAAAGGGCCCTCCTGGCGCTCTGTGGCCACCCCGGGGGGCTCGGGGCACATCCCTCCCCGCATCGTTCTGGCGCAGCGAGGCCCACCCTCCCCGGCGTGCAGGGCCTGCCCTGCAGCTCCTGCTGCCCCTTGTTGCCCTGGCAGGGGCTGCGGGGCCAGGCGAGCGGGGGCGGGTGTCTGGTGGGCTCCTGAACCCCCCACTTGAGGCCAGAGCAGCCGTGAGCTGGCGGGCCTGGGGGAGGACCAGCGGAGGCCCCAGGGAGAGCGTGGCTGAGCGGCACCCGCCGCGTGTCGGATCCACCGCGGCCCCACCCCCAAGCGTCTCCTCGTGCCCTCCTCCCTCGCCCATCGCTCTCCTGCTGGACCGGGTGCCATCGCTCCGCCTGGGAAGCGTCTCCGACCCATCTCCCTGCCCGGGGTTCCCATGGAAACGCAGAAGTGGGATCTCGGCTCTGACGGCCGAGCTCATTCCGAGCGCCAACACATCTCCCACCGCCTGGGAAGCCAGGAGCGTGCTCGCGAGGCAGGGGGCGTGTGGGGGGCAGCACCTCCTCCCCGTCGATCCGTGCACGGGGCCATCCGCGGCCCGGCCGGGCCTCCCCTCCCGAGGGACCGCATGCTCGGGTGCTCCTGTGCCAGCCCCCAAAGGGCGCATCAGGAGGAGGCTGCGCTCGCTCCACGGCAGGCCGCGCTCTCTGGGCCTCGTTGGGAGCACCGTGCCCCGCAGGGCGCGCGATCCCTGCAGGCTGGGCGGGGTGCACCTGGCCAGGGCGGGCGGGCAGGGAATGCCCCCCTGCTCCTGCCTGCCCCCCAGCGAAGGCCGGGCTGCCGGGCTCTCGCCTGGGCTCAGGCCCCCGCTGACTCCCGCTTGGAGGGGGCTGGGGGTGGGCGAGGCCTGCCGAGCCCCCCCGCATGGCCTTCAGGGCCGGCCCGCCGGCACGCACCTCGGCTCTTCTGGCTCCGGGTCCGGCAGGATCTTGTCCGGGCTTTTGCTGCCGTCGCTCCTGGCCGGGCTGCCTTCGGAGAGGGGCCCCACGTGGCTGACGCTGCAAGGGGCACAGGCACCCAGACCGATCACGCCGCGGCCCGGACGGCCCGCGCTGCGCACCACGCGGCCACGCTAGCTCCGGGAGCTGCCCGGGGCACCTGGTGACGCCACATCACGTCCCGGCGCTCCTGTGGCACAGCCCCCCGCAAAGCAACCGGAACTGGCGCAGGGGCCCCAGTGCCTGGCCGCTGGCGCCGGTTGATGCAAACGAGCGCGCCTTTCCAGGTGTCCTGGGCCAGCAAGCCTGCGGAGAGCGCAGACACGCAGCCCCACGGCCGGCCGAGCAGCGTGACCCTGGCGCATGGCGCACAGCGCATGGCGCACAGCGCACAGCGCATGGCGCACGGCTACCTGACGTTGCAGGACGGCGCCTCTTTGTGCCGCTTGCGGAACCACGTCTGTTGGGCGTGCTGGCTCTCCGCCGCACTGATGAGCCCGTCTCGGTGCTGGTCCAGCGCCAGGAAGGCGTCCCGCGCTCTCTCGCGCTCCTTGGCCGTCAGCAGGCGCAGCAAGGCGTTCTGTGGACGAAAGCCGGCGGCACATGGGCCCCGTGCAGCCCGGAGGCCTTTGGAAGAGCAGCACAGGAAAGGATGGCTCGGAGCGCGGGCAGAGTGCGTTCCGCTTGCAGGAGGCCGTGGCACCGGGCCGTGGGACTGCACGAGGCCGCTCCTCCCACATTCGCCTTCAGGAGGGCAAGGGGTCAGGGATCTGGGCCCCAGCCCTCCGCTGCAGGCCCTGCGGAGCTGCCCGCAGGGAGCCGCCCAAGCCTCTGCCCGTGGTGCCATCTGCCCCGTGCCCGCCTGATACGGGCAGTGCGGAACGAGGGGCGATCCATGCAGAGCCCCGCCCACTTCCGTCCTCATCCGCGCCGCTCGAAAGGGTCTGGCTGGGCAGGCCGGGAAAGGCGCTCGGCCAGAAGCCTCCGGAACCGCCACAAGCCCTGGGTGAGAAACTCGCCCTGCAGCTGGAAGGGGCCTGAGCCCCGGCCTGTTAGAAGGGGGCTTCTCCCTGAGCCCATGTGCCTCCCCAGCGCACCCCGGGCGGGCGATGGTGGGCGAGCTCGTGACACCCGCAGTGCGCAGAAGCGACAGCTGTGGAAGAGCCTGGGGTGCGCCTGGCAGGCGACCGGGCTCCCCGTGGGGGTCCCAGGGGCCAAGAACTCTATTTGTTGAATTTGGTTTCTCTGGACCGCTGTCCAAATGTGAGCTGGCAAGGCAGAGCGAAGGCACGCATGGTCCTGGCTTGCAGGAAGGGGGCTGGCCACCCCACTGGGCGACACCCTAAGGCCTTTTTGGCAGAAAATGGTGCGCCTCCCTCCTTTATGAGAGCACTCAGAACTCTGGTTCCTTTTAAAAGGGAACTTGAAGAGGGCTCCTCGTGGGCTTTTCAAGGACCTTCCCTTGAAATCGCAACCCATGATGGGTCTGGCCCCCCGGATTTGGACGGCAGGACAAGCCACGCTGGGAGCAGCGGCTGCAGCAGCAACCCAGGGGTTGCTGGGGTGGCTTGTTGCCCACGATCCAGTGTGGGTTGTGACCCCTGATCGGTTGTCGTGCCAGCGCAAAGCGGCCCCTGATCTGGAGACGGCGCAGCAGTGCCAAGCGGCGATGGCATTTTCTGGGCTGCACGCGGGAACCCCGGTACCACCAGCCTCCACTTCGCCCTCCGGGCCCAGGACTGCCAGCACAGACTGGCAGGGGCAGGTGTCTGGGGTGCCACGCCGGAGCTGCTCTGCTGCGCCTGGAGGTGCCGCTGGGGCCCAGGGTGACCCTTCCGAGTGCCCCAGTGCTGTGCCGGCCACTCTCCCGTAACGCTGAGCTCACAAACTGACTGGCCTCAGACGGGGCTTTTTCGTAGAAATCGCAACCAGACGTCTGAGCAAGGCAGAAGAGGAACTCGGGACCGGCCGGTTTTCCCTGGCAGTGCTGCGGCTGCACTCGTCAGAGGGGGAAGCTGGCCAGTTTGGGGAGAATGCGCTACAGGGGGACTTCCACGCAGCTGGTCAAGCGACCCCCCCCGGGGCGGGGGGGAGGCCTGGTGCTTCCTCAAGCTCGGCCAACCAGGCAGAAACGGTCCCATTGCACAACGGCTGTGCCGAAGGGGAAGGGAAATCATTAATGCCTCATTTATAGGGTGGCTGCTCTTTCCATTGTTGTCTGGGTTGTCTTATTTCTAGGGGGTGTTGGTTGCTTGTCTCATCAGGGCAAAGTTATTTTACTCCTTTACGCTCATCGGCGCGAGAAGCATCCCGCCGATGAATGGCGCTGCTTCAGCCCTTTCTGGCTGCAGAAGTGCTTCCAGGACAGGACAGGAAGCAAAAAGTATTTGCAAATAATCCTCGTGGCTCAGAACGCGCCACCGAGATGCCTCCTTGGCGAACGGAGGGCTCCCAGCTGCCCTTTCGTCCACTGCCCGTCCCAACTTGTGGATCCTGGTGGAGCTGGGCTGGGTACTGGGCTCCTGGGGGCTGTGCCCCGTGACGGACACGCGCCCCAACTTTGAAAGGAGCGGCAGGTGACGCCCCCGTTCGGGAAACTGAATGCGCAGAACTGAAGCTGCAGCGCACCAGGGGCCGTCTCCCGGGTGGGGAAGCCCCGGGCGGGCGCATGCCAAGCCCCACCTGCGAGCGCGTCCTTTGCAGCAGCAAGAGGGACTCATGGGAGAGGAAGTCCGCCCACTCGACGCGGCCGGTCTTCTCGGGGTCCAGCGCCGCGAACTGCAGGGTGTCGCGCTCCTGCTGGGCCTCCTCGCCGAGCCCGCCGGCCTCCTGCGGATGCGCCAGGCGCTTGTAGCGCAAGAAGCTGTCCAGGCTGAGCCTGCTCTCTGTGGGGCCACCAGAGGGGCAGAGTCAGTGCGGGGGGGCCTCCGGCGTACCAGGCCCGGCCCCATGACCTGCTGGTGCCATGCACGCCCCCCGCCCTTGGGCCCCCAAGACCCTCGAGCAGTGTGCACTCAGTGAAGGGCAGTGCCCACTTGGGTTGGGGCTGGGGCCAAGTTCGGCCCCACGTGAGGGCCTGGGGACCGCCGCCACTCCACATGCCCCCCCCGAGCCACCTTCCCCCTCGTTCTGCACCCCGAGTTGAGGGAGAGCTACTCGAAGGCCGTTCGCCCACGGAGCGGGGCTGCGTGGCCGGGCTGCCGTCCGCCGGCCTCACCTCCCACCTGCGTGCATTTCTCCACCCCACCTGCACGTGGGCCGGCACCTTTCGCACCCCCCACTCCCTGGCCCCCCACGGCATGCACGCCTGTGCAAACGGCCCCTCGGGAGGAGGAGCTCCGTGCACCGAGGGGCTCACCAGGGGCGACGCTGTGCTGCTGGAGGGCTTCGGACAGGCTGGTCATCTCCTCCTCTGTCAGCAGCAGGTTGAGGTTGTCCTGGGTTTGGGGCGGGGAGAAGGGTGGCGAGAAAGGCGGGTGAACACGGGGGCAGGGGTGGTCCTTCCCACCCTTCCTTGACTGGCCGAGCCCCGGCGGCCGCGCTCAGACTCGGCGCCCCAGCAGGGGTGCAAGGGAGGGCCGCTTGCCCAGAGGCACAGAGCGTCGCCCAGCTTAGCCCCGTGTAAAACGGCATTTTTGCATGAGAAACATGAAACACCCGTCAGCGATGTCCACTGGCAAAACGCCGTGCTCTCTGGCTCAGCAGCGCCCACAGTGGCGCACTTTTGTGAAGCCTTCCTTCTGCCTGGAAGAACCACGTTTGAATTCCCGCAAGGCAGTCTGGCAAGGAAGACCCTGCTTCAGAAATCAGGTCCTTGCAGCTTGGATCGGCTCCACGCTTCCCGGTGAGGCCCAGTCAGCACAGTGGAGCGGCCTCCTCGCACACACGCCTCCGATGTGGGGGGCGGGGGGCTGAAGGAGCCGCGTTCCTCCGGCCCCGGATCATGCCCTGTTCTGCAGGATCTCTTTTGAGGGGCAGGCTGGCCTGGCCTGCAGTATTCCAAGTGTGCTCGTCCCTTGGACCGGTCGGAGTGCCTGTGCTCTGGGAAGCTCTGTTTCCAGGGCTTTTCCCGTCATGCCTAAGGGCCGCTCGCCTTGTCCCAGCAGCCATGTGCCGGGCCTGTCTGTCCATCGGGCTGAGCCCGGGCAGTGCTACCCGCAGGGGGGGCTTCTGTCAGAGCTGCTCCCCCAAACCTCCCCGGACATGGGGGTGGCCCTCAGCTCCTGTGGAAGCCCCCCGGGGGACCTTTCTCACGCATCCCAAAATCCCAGCGGTTGCCCCAGGTCGGGCTTCCCCCACTCTTCTCCCACACAAGTTCCAGAGCCCCTCCGAAGGAAGCCCAGCTGCGACACCGCGCGCCGGGCGGAGTGGCGGCGGAGGGCGACCCGCCCAAGCCAGGGGCCTCCGGGGCGGGAGGGGATGTGGCCGCCCAGTGGCACGCCGGCCTTCACGGCTCCCTCGGCGGGACCCTCACTCGGGGCCCGGCATGGCCATTTGTGGCACCGTGCGCGGGCTGCGGGCGATGCGAGGCGTGGACTCTTCCCACGTCGCCCGGATCTGCTTGCGCCTGAGAATTTTAACCCGGGTCCACTGCCGTTTCTGACCGCAGCCGGCTTCAGAGCACACTGAACCCACTTCCCGGCCCATTCCCAGAAGAGCCCCCCGCAGCCGCTGAGTGGGGGGCATGCTGAGCAGCCTGAGCCCGCGTGGGCCAGCGGCCCTCCCTCCGCCGGGTGCCGGAGGAGGGACCTCCGGAGAACCGTGCGGGCGCCCCAGCGGGAGTGGCGGGCAGCCAGGACCCCATGGACCGCCCCGACCCACGGGCGTCCTCCGGCAGGCGTGCCCCCCTGCCCCCCCCCCCGGTCACGGGCTTACACAGCAGTGGCAGCTCCAGCCGGTCTCTGCGTGGGCCGCCTCGATGACCTCGGCGGCCGCGGCGAGGGGAAGGTAGCCCATGCGGCGCAGGCAGCCGTCGTGGTAGACCCTGGTGCACACGCGGCAGGGCAGCAGGCTCTCCGCCGTCCACACCTCGCACACCTCGCACACCTCGTCGTTGCTCACCTGCGGGGGGGGGGGAGGCTGCTAAGGGGGCGCAGGTGCGGAGCAGCAGCAGCAGCAGCCCTGCCCGGCGGGGGCAGCAGTGTCTCCTCCCCCCGGGGACCCCCTGCAGGCCTTGCGCCCGCCCTTCCAGACGCCCTCCGCCCTCGGCTCGGCTGGGCAGCTGGGCGGGAGGCACGGAGCCCGAACGTGGCCCCTGGAAGCCAGGGCGGCGGGCCCTGGGCATCCCAGGGGCACAAAAGCGTTACGGGTGCTGCGGTTTCTAATCCACCCCTCGTGAGAGACCAGGGCGGCTGAAGGCGCCTCGGAGAGAGTCCTTCCCTGGCGCCAGAAAAGCGGCTCTCCTCCGCCCTTTGCTTGATGCTGGCCTCCCCTCCGGTGCCTCCCCGCACCGTTTCCACGGCGAAGGCGATGCAGAAGCCTCCCTTGGGAGGGGGTTCAAAAGGCAGGTGCGTCTCTCCCAGGCTGCCCCCCTGAGGCGGGGGGGGCAGAGGGTGCCCTTCCAAGCGGCCTGAACGGCCGGGCCGGCAGATGAGCCAGCCTGAGAATGGCCGCTCACTCTGGGTCCCGGGCCCCCCGGGCTTCCCAGGTGAGCACCTGCAGGTTACCTGTTGTTCAGCCAAGGTCAGGAGAGGGCACAGCTGCCCAGGCCTCCCCAGCGGGGCATGTCCTGCACGCGCCCCCCCCGTCTTTGCGCTGGCTGCAGCTTCCGAAGAGGCCCCACGGGAAGGGGGGGCAGTCCCCAGCCCGTGGCATTCTGCCCTGGCGCTTTGGGAATCGGGCAGCTGGACGCAGCCTGCCTGCCGGCAGTGGCCACCCGGCGCCAGAGCGCAGAAGGAGGTGTGCCCCCCCGCTGTGGCTTTGCCCCCCCGCCCTGCCACCCTTCGGCCCCTTTGCAGGGCGGTTCCCGGCGCTGCTGAACTGGCTGGGCAGGCCGGGCGGCGGGGGGGGGGACCCACCGCCCCCCCCCCCCGAGCAGCTGGAAGAGGAGCTCAGTGAGCTCACGGCAGCATCCCTCTTGCAGGATGGGGCTTCCACTCAGCAGCTTGCCCCCCGGCTTCCTCGGTGGAGCTCTGTCTGGCCAGGGGGGGAGCTGGCCTGCCCGCTTGGCTGTCTGATCACGGGGAGCTGCTCCAGATGGGCCTGTTGCCCCCCCATGGCCCTTCCTCACTCTTTTCCCCAGGAGGGTCCCATGGGGGCCCTGTGGGCAGCCGGTCCGCTCTGGGGTGCGGATGCTGCTGAGGCAGCCCCGGCCCCACGGCAGCCTCCGTGCTTGGTGCAAGCAGGTGCCTGGTGCCCCACGGGGCGGAGGGCGGCCTCCCTGCCCTGGGGTGAGGGGGGGGGGAGAGAAGCAGGTCCTGCTTCAGCGCGTTTGGGGCATCCGTGGGGCAAGTGTGCTTTGCACAGGGCCAGTGGGGCCCGGCCGCCCCCTCATTTGTGGGGCCGCGCTGAGGCCTGGCGCTGGCAGGGGTTCCCCTGGGTGGACGGGGAGCAGGGATGGACCCCGTGATCCCGGGCGGGAGTCAAGGCGGAACTGCAGCTGCCGTCAGAGTAGTCTGGCGCTGGTCCCCTCTGGGGCGGCCGGGGAGCGGCAGCGCCCCCCCCACCCGGCCCCCCCTCGCCCGCCCGCCCGCCCGCAGCACCCACCTGCTCTCGCTGGCCCAGGCTGATCTCGAGGGGCTCGTCCTCGCCCGGCTGCCGAGAGGGGCGGGCAACGGCCGGGGGCGTGAGGGCGCTGCCCCCGCTGAACTCCTCAGGCTCCACCCCTCGCCCGTCCCGCAGCCTCTCCCAGGCGGCCCTCCGGAGCCGCGAGGGCCCCGCCGAAGGGCCCTCGCCCGCCTCCTCGCAGGCCGGCTCCTGCGCGGCGTCCTCCAGGGTCCCCCGCCGGCTGCCGGCTCCCTCCGAGGCGCCCTTGGCGGCCGGCCGCTCGCGCAGCCCGTCCCGGAAGGCGGACACGGCCAGGCTGACCCGCTGCACCTGCTCCACCGTCTGCCGCTTGGACATCAGCACCCCCATGGCTCTGTGGGGAGGCAGAAAGAGGGGCCGGTCAGGGCCATGGCGGCAAGCGTGCCCCCCCGCCCCCCCGGCAGCTGGCTCAGGGCTTACAAGCTCAGAATGAAAGCAAGGCTCCGTGGAGTGGGCGAGGAACAGCGAGCCCGTGGGAGCCTCTGTCTCGCGGGTGCCGGGCACGCTTTGCAGGGACAGCGAGATCGAACGGGTCTCCCCGTCTGCAGAAGTGGGGGCTGGGGGGGGTTCTCCCAGGAAAGCTCTGCCACCGTTTCAAGGGAGGTTCTGCTTGGCTCAACGAGCTTCGAGAGGCGGCTCACTCAGCCCACGGACGGCCACCGGCGCTCCCGCCCTGTGCCGAGTCAGCCTCCTGCGTCGCACTGCCCCCGACGCCCGGGGCCCACTCCGGGTTCCGGGGGCTCCTTTCCCGGGGCTCCCCCAGGCCGGAGGGGGGCCTCTCACAGGCGCTGCGGGCGCCCCCTTGCGCAAGATGCCGGGGAAAAGCCGCAGTGAGCCCAAGCGGAGGAGGATGCTGCGGATCCGGCCCGCAGCTCCTGTGCCCGGCCAGCTTTCCGAACATGCAGCCTGTCTGGTCGTCTGGTCTGCCTCTTCACTTTCGGGGGGGGGGGGCGTGCCCACTCGCATGAACTGATGCGCACTTGTGCAAGTGCCCAATTCAGCAGTAACACACATGCGTGTTTGTGCTGGTGCGCTAACCGCCCATGCGGATTAGCCCAGGTGGAAGCAAACTCCGGTCGGGAAACCGATTCCATCGACAGGTGGCGGAAGAGGCCTGCCGGTCCGTGAACCAAGCCCAAAGGGAACGGCGGTGAGCCGTGCTCGCGGACCCCGGTGCTGCTCAGCCGCAGCTCTGCTGGGCCCCACACGCTGGCGTGGGGCCTCCCCCAAGGCCCTTCCTGAAAGGTGTGTGGCATCGGCCGGAAGCAGGCCAGTGGGGCTCCCGCGGAGCTGCCAGTCTGCCCCCCACACGGGCCCGGCTGGCGTGTCCCGCTGCAGCTGCCCGCCTGAGCCCGGCCCTGCACGCTCCCCCCGCTCAGGCCGGCCATGGGTTTCTCCTGCGCCCGCTGGATTCAGTCGCCACGCAGGCGGGAGGCGGGTCAGCCGATGCAGACAGATGGGGGGCGCTGGCACACCTCCTCCCTGCGCTTTGGCCACACTGCCCCACATCCCCCGCCCGCACCCCTCACCGTTGGGAGCAGGTGGCAGCACCCCGGTTCTTCCCGCACGGAGCAGTGCCTGAGCAGCCCCTGCACATGCGGGGGGCTCTGCCAGGACCCTCGCCGCACTGCATGGCCTCCCTCCTCCTCCCCGCTTCGAAAGCCGGAGGGGGGCCCTGCAGTTGGGCTTGAAGAGCCCCCCACCGTGCTTCGCTGTCCGAACTATGTCATCGGCATTCCCGGATCCCCCCCCAACCCCTGCCGTGGGGGATGGGCATGCTGCAGGAAGCACCCCAGTGTGCCCGCCCATCTCCCACCCCCTCGGAGAATCCACTTCCAGGGACGGCCACTGGGGGGAGCAGCGCTCTGAGTCCCACCAACTCGAAGGGCAGCAGCTGGTCCTCCAGCGGCCGCATCCAGTTCAGGAAGCATTTGGGGGGCTCCGGGGAAATGAGGGTGGTGCAGCTCAGTGCGTTTGAGCTGAGCTGCACCACACTCCTGCCTGGTGGGAGAACGGTGGGGCTGGGGGATCCCGGGGGCCGGGCTGAGCCGCCAGAGGGGCCGGAGTCAGCGCTCCGGGCCTCTGCTCCCCAGCCTGGCTGTGTCGCAAGCTCTGATGAGAGCCCCGTCAAGGGGCAAAGCCGGAAGAGTGACAGACGGGTCAGGGCAAGAAGCAAGGGGTGCTCCTGAGAGAGCAAGGATGATAAACAAATGAGGAAGGAATGAGAGAGAGGGAGGGGCTTTCTAACGAGGCGCTCATTGCATGCTTGCAGCCTCTCGCTCATGGTGGGTGATGGCATGGTTATCCTCCGGGGCCTCTTCCATCCCAGTTCAGCAGCCCTTTCCCAGACTGAGGAAATTCTGCTATTATCTGTGAAATGATGCCAAAAACTGGCCTGCCTTTGTGCAATTCCGCTATACTGTAGTCCACCTAGTGGTCATGTCGTGGAAAACATGGACCGGCACAGGAAGACAACCCTGGGAGAACTAAGCGCGAGGGGAGCCCATCTCAGCCACGCGACGAACCCCGACAAGGCGCCTCGGGGAAGCGGTGGGTTGCAGAGGACCCCGTGCAGCGGGGGGCTTGGCCGGGGACCTGAGAGGCCAGGCCGGGGCTCCACGATCCTGCTGCTGTTCCGAGATCGCTCTTGTATCCCCGCTTTCCTCCTCTGGGGAACCCAAGGCGCCTCACATGGTCCCCATCCGCAGCAGCATCCTCTCTGCGCCACAACCGCCCTGTGCAGCGGGTCCGATCGCACGCCTGCCACTGGCCCGGAGTCGCCCAGGGAACTCCATGGTTAAGTGGGGACCAGAACCTGGGTCCCCCGGGTCCCCGGGTCCCCAGCTGCCACCCCCACCGCCACGCCACGGTTCTTGCCTTCCTCCCTCACTGCACTGGGGCTGCCTGGCCTGGGAGGCATCTCAAGGTGGGAATCAAATCCATCAGGTTTAGGGGCCTCTGTCGGGAAGAAGCCGAGACATCGCGCTGGCAGCTGGCGCAAAATCTAGCGGGGGGAAGGTGCAGGGGACAGCGCCACCGCCTCTCCTGCCACACACCTGCCCCTGCCGGCACCCGGGGCATGAAGGCGGCGCTGGAGATGCCGTGCAGCCCAGCTGCCTCTCGCCCGCCTGGCCCCGCACTGGCCCCTTCCTCCCCGACGTACACGCAGTGCAAGCCCCTCTCGGTAGAACACGCAGGCCGTTTGCAAGCAGCTGGCACAGCCCCCCTTCCCCCCCCCCGCTTTGCTAGCTGCACCACTCCTGGGCGTGATGGATTCTGCTTCCTGTTGCCGAGCAACCCAAGTCCCCGTCCCCGAGATCTGGCAGGTGAGCCACCTGCACGCGCGGCTCGGCTAAAGATGGCGCCTCCTCCATTCGGTGCCGTGCGGTGCCCGTCACCACTCGCTGGCCGAGCCAAGCGCCCCCCTCCCTGATCCTCTGATCGCCGCCGAGGTTGTTTCCCTGCCTGGCCAGGGCTTCCCGGTGACCCTGCCTCATGGCAAAGGTCGTATGAGCCGGTCGTGGCAGGAGAGCGGTGGTGAGGCAGCGAAGCCCACGCAGAACGCCTGCGGGGAGGGACGCCTGAGAGGCCCAGAGCTGTGCTGTGTTTCCCGGAGCCCTAAGCCCTTTACCAGCACTGCTGTTTCAGAAGCTGTGATTCCCAGAGGGAGGAGCAAAGCAGGAGGAGTTGCTGCTACAAGAATACTCCACCTTTCCTCCTCTGCGAGGAACTCCAAGGGGCTTACAAGGCCCCCCCCCCCCTATTTTCTCGTCATGCAGTCATCAGGAAAAGCCATGCCTTGGCCAGGAGCCTCCTCTCTCCAGCTGCCACGCTACTCATAAAGCGATTTTTTAAAAGCACGCATACTCAAAAAGTCACCCGGCTGCACTCACTAGGGTCCGCTCCCCAGTGCGGCTTGTGGGCCCCCGAGGGGCAGGAGAGGCGCTCCAGGTGGTGGATGTGGCAGCCCACAGAAGGAAGGACCGGCTTGCTCCGGGCTTCGCCAGGGCCGCTCCCGGCCTCTCTTCTGGCAGCCTGTGCTCTGCTTTTGCATCGCTTCTGCAGCGACCCGGCTGACACTGTGGCTTTGTTAAAAAGGACGCAGCAACCTCGGGGGCAGCTGCACAAATATGGGAAGCTCAGAGAGGAATCTCCCAGGCAGCTGCCCCCAGGTGCTGCTGCGGAAGCGGACTGGGGACGGCAAGGTGGCGTTCATCGCGAAGTGCAGGGCTTTGCACCTGGGACACAGGAGCAGGGGCCACAGGTAAGGACAGGGCACAGGTGGCTGCAGGGCGGCACTCGTGAAAGGGCCCTCGGGGTGCTTGCCGACGGCAGGATGAATGTGGGCCAGCCGTGTGAGGCGGTGGTTAAGGCGGCAAGCGCCACCCTCGGATGCATAGCCAGAAGCGTGGCTTCCAGATCTAGGGAGGTGTTGATTCCGCTCTGCACGACTCTGGGCGCCCACAGCTGGAGTCCCGCGTCCAGTTCTGGGCTCCACCTTATCGGAGACGCAGCCAGGTTAGCAGAGGTTCAGCGCAGGGTCACCAGAAGGGCGGCCGGGTTGGGAGGGATGGCAGACGAGGAGAGATTGAGGGACGGGGTCTTTCGGTGGCTGAGGCCCCATCGGTGAGGGTGTTCAAGGATAGGCTAGACATGCACACAGTGAGCATGTCGTGAGCGGAGCCGGCTGGGGGTCAGACTAGATGGCCAGGGAGACCCCTTCTGACTCACTCTGTTTCTATGCTTCTTTTCAGCCTGGAGAAGAGGCCACTCTGAAGGGGTCTTTTAGGATCCCGAGGGTGTGGAAGGGGCTTCCACGGGAGGTGGTTGAGGCCCCATCGGTGCAGGTATTCAAGAATAGGCTGGACGTCCACATGGTAGGCATGTTGTGAGCGGAGCCGGCTGGTGCCGGAGGTCAGACTAGATGGCCCAGGAGACCCCTTCTGGCTCACTCTGTTTCTATGCTTCTTTTCAGCCTGGAGAAGAGGCGACTCCGAGGGGGTCTTTTAGTGACTTCTAGGTACGTACAACGTGGCGGAGGGCTGTGATCTGTTCTTCCCTGCAGTGGAGGGCAGGACGCGTTCCAGTGGGGTGAATCTAGCTGAAACCGAGCTATGGAATATGAAAAGGGCTCCCAGGAGAGACTCGCTCTGTTCCTATGCTTCTCTCTGGCAGGCTGGCCGGCTCTGCCATTATACTCGTCCCAAAGGAAGCAGGCCGTGGAGGCTGCTGGCTTTCGGGATCTGAGAGGGCAGCCGCTGGCGGGCTCTTTGACTGGCAACTGCCGTCATTTCACTCTCTGGGGAGAAGCTCCGTATGGACTTTCTGCT